AAGCAGTCACCCCCCACCCCCCTGGGCATAAGTAATAGGGCCTGGCTCTCAACAGGAGCTGACTGCTGGCTACAGTCCTGGAAAGATGGAAAGCTTCAAAGGAGTGGAAAAGAAGAGGCTGGCTGCTATCCAGGACCGCTCCCAGGGCCGGCCGTGCGCTCTCCTCTGAAGGACACCCTGCCACGCCAAGTGGCTCTGGGAGCCACAGACTCTGCAGAAAACCCTTGTAGATGATACCTCATGGATGCCCCCTGGCTTGTGAATCTGGGGGCCCAGTGGGACTGAGCAGGCTTCCAACAATTCAAAGGACCACGGTAATCACCTCCCAGGAGATGAGTCATGGTGCTTCCCAACCAATGAAGGCTTCCCAGTCATGGGCAAGCACAACCTGATTGGCTGAGTCAGGTAAACAACCTGAAACCAAGAGCTTAGGGCTTGAAGTAGCTGGTCTCTCTGGGCCTTCTGGAGTGTTTAGGGGCCTGAGCCCAGCACTAAGAACTGAGTAGCCAATTTCTAAAGCGGATCCCAGGACACTGGTTAGTGAGGACTTGATTCACCCAGGAGACAAAGTGAGTAGCAAGCATGCAGCTGCAGCCTCAAAGGGTGCCAGAGGAGACAAACAAAGCTACTCCTGGGTCCTGCCTCTGTGCCCTTGTCTCCAGGAAACGGTGCCCAGTCACCCACCTCTATCCATTTTCCATATCAGGTTCTCCTCTTGAAAACCTGTCTTCACCTCCCACTTCTTATAGACAAGCGAGAGGATGATCCCTTTGTGCTCGGAAGAGGAGGAGAACACCTGCCCTGGCCTGCGTTTGCCAAGTGACACAGAACAAGCTCCCTGCCCTCCGAGAGATGTGTCCATATCAGAGGGACACACATCAGAATGTGGCCACTCCTCCCCTTCCTCACTACCTGAGCTCTACCCCCTGCTCCTCACCTCTGCCTACAGAGCACAGAAGGGCGGGGGGAGAGAAGAGAAGGTGAGTGACCAGCCAACGAGACAACTGTAGGTTTTGAAATAAAAGAAAGAATGATAAACTCTCTACTTCTCCTCCCTACAAAACACATCATATGTATCCAAATTGAAATCCTGGGTTAATGATTTTTTTTTTTTTAAAAGACCCATCGTCCCTATAGGACAGAATAGGTTTGGGCTTCTGAGGCAGTAAATCAATATGAGAAAAGAAAGCCTCATCTTTCTCCTGTGGAGCGGCTGGTGACAATGAACTGCCAACCTTGTGCTTAGAAGCCCAATGTGCAACCCACGACACCACCAGGGCTCCTTGAGTCAATAAGCGGCTCTGAAAGTTGGCTTCCGTCACTAGTCTGCTTTCTTCCCGTCAGTGTGTTTAATCAATTGCTGTCAAGTCAGCTGGAGATTTGTGATGACCCCCTTGTGTGTCAGAGCAAAACTCTGCTCCACGGGGTTTTCAAGGGCGGATTATATAAAATCAGATCACCAGGCCTTTTCCCCAGGCCCCACCAGGTGGATTTGAACCTTCAACCTTTTGGTTAGTCCATGTTTGTTGACACCACTCAAGTAACTCCTGGATGTTTAGGCATGTTGCTCTCCTTTGATCTCGGGCTATGCTCAACTACCACCAAAGGAATGGGTGCTATAATTGGAAGACAAAAGAAAAGAGGCTCAGAAGAAAAGGATGAATTTTGGAGGCTGTAATTAGACTATGGTGTGTGCTCGTCTGCTTTTCCTCACCCCATCACTCACAAAGAAGCAAGTCTCCCCAGTGGGAAATGCAGGAGAGTGGGAGGACACTCGGATCCAGGAAGAAGAAGACTATATACGGCTTACGCAATGGAACCCCACTTTAATGGCTGTAACAATGGGCTCAGACATAACAATTGTGAAGATGCTGCAGGGCTGAGCACTATTTCCTTCTGCCGTGCACTGGGTCACCAGAGTCAGAACCAACCCAGGGGCGCCTCACCACAAGCACCATCTCTCCTAGTAGCCATCCCCAAAGAGGCACAAAACCATCTACTAACAGAGGAGGCAGTTCTTACCACTCCTTCCTATTCTGACCCCGTTCCAGCCAGATGAGAGGCTCTGGTGAGTGGAATCATCAAGGGCGTTTGGAGAAGGAAAGGGCTGCGAAGGAGCATCTGTGCGCGGACAGAGAGAGCTGCACCCAAAAGGGACATGGCCAGGGTTGGGGGTGTTTTCTCCATCTTACAGCAGGAGCTGCACAAAGCCAGCGACATATTCTCCCCTAGAGCAGCTAAAGTTGCTGGAAAACATGATGAAGTGAAAGAGAACATAAAATGTCAAAGGCAGCTCAAGAAGAGAGCAAAAGCAGTGGTGTGAGTGGCGATACTGGGAGGGTAGAGGGAGAGTGGGTAGGAAAGAGGGAACCGAATACAAGGAACTATATGTGGCCTCCTCCCTGGGGGACGGACAACCGAAAAGTGGGTGAAGGGAGATGTCGGACAGGGCAAGATATGACAAAATAACAATTTGTAAACTATCAAGGGCTCAAGAGAGAGGGGGGAGCGGGGAGGGAGGGGAAAAATGAGGACCTAATGCCGGGGGTGTAAGTGGAGAGAAAATGTTTTGAGAATGATGAGGGCAATGAATGTACAAATGCGCTTTACACAATTGATGTGTGTATGGCTTGTGATAAGAGTTGTATGAGCCCCTAATAAAACGATTTAAGAAAAATACTAATAGCAAAAAAAAAAAAAAGAAATGTGCAAAGACCTAAAATTAGAAAACCCATGGGATTTGACTTATGGTGTTGGCAAAAAATATGGGAAGGACCATGGACTGCCAAAAGACAAACCAATCTGTCCTGGAAGTACTGCCAGAGTGCTCCTTAGAAGCAAGGATGGCAAGACGTCGTCTCACATATACTTTGGACATGTTGTCAGTAGAGCCCAGTCACTGGCAAAGGACATCATGCTTGGTAAAGCTAAGGGCAACAAAAAAGGAGCAGACCCTCAACTAGATGGATTGACAAGGGGATTGCAACAATTTGGAAGATGGTGCAGGACAGGGCAGTGTTTTGTTCCATTGTACACAGTGTCACTATGGGTCGGAACCAACTCGACAGCACTAACAACAGTAGCTCAAGCTGAAAAAGCTGAAGAAAAAAATTCAAGCCTCAAGTTCCAGTATTAAAGGATTTTATGGACAAAATATGATGCAGGAAACATCAAAAGAAGGCAGAAGGAATATAGTGAGTCATGGCCTTCAAAAGAATTGTCAACATTCAACTATTCCAAGAGGTCGCAGATGATCAAGAACTGATGGAATTGAAGGAACAAGTCCAAACAGCACTGAAGATTAAAAACCCAAGAGTCCAGGAACTGATAGAATACCCACTGAATTGTTACAAAAATCTGATGCAGCTCTGGAAGCACCCGTTAGTCTATGCCAAGAAAATTGGAAGATAGCTACTTTGTCAATCAACTTGAAGATTCGCATTTGTGTCCATTCCAAGGAAGGTGATCCAACGAAAGTGGAACTCCTTGACAATATCATTCATCTCACTCGCAAATAAAATGTTGCTGAAAATGATTCAAATGTGGTTGCAACAGTACAGAAGCTGCCCCCAAACCCAGCCGGATTCAGAAGATGTATAATGAGGGATCGCAGTGCTGACATCGGAGGGATCTTGGCTGAAAGCAAAGGATACCAGAAGGACTTTTACTGGTGTTTCATGAACTGTGCAAAGATACTCAACTGTGTGGATTATGGTAGACGGTGGATAGCATGGAGAAGCATGGGGATTGCGGAGCTCTTCCCTGGGAAAACATGGGACTTGTACAAGGAAATACCGCCCCGTCTAAAATCAGGAAAGGTGACTCCACCTTCATTCTTATTCAATCTGTATGCTGAGAATGTAATCGGAGAGCCTGGACTATCGAAGCAAGTGGCATCAGGGTCGGAGGAAGTCTCATTAACAACCTGAGAAATGCACATGACACAAGCTTGCTTTCTGAAACCACTTGCTGAACAGGCTTGAAGCACTTACCGACGAAGCTCAAAGACAACAGCCTCCTGTGTGGGTGACAACCCCACGTAACGAAAACCGAAATCCTCGCAACGGGACCAATAGGCAACAGCATGACAAACGGGGAAAAGACGGACGTGGCACGGGATTCTGTTTCACGGGGATCTACAATCAATGCCCACGGAAGTAGCCATGGAGAAATCAAATGACGCATGGCTGCAGCCGGCAAACCTATAGAAGCCCTCGGTAAGTGAGGAAGAGCAAAGGTCACCGGGAGACCAAGGCGCATCTGACCCGGGTCGTCTTATTTTCAGCCGTTTCACATGCATAGCACAGTTGGACATCGACAAGAAGATTGCAAAAGAACGTGTGCCTTTGAATTATGGTGCCGGTGAAGAATATTAGAATGTCCTAGACTACCGGAAGAACAAATATCTCTCTCGGGGAGGAAGTGCGGGCAGATGGCTCCTTAGCAGCAAGACTGGTGAGGTTTCCTCTCGTGGCCTTTGGGCGTGTTATCAGGAGGGAGAAGTCTCTGGTCAAGGGCATCATGCTTGGGGAAAGGAGGCAAGCTCTTAATGAGATGGATTGGCACAGGGGCTGCCACAGTGGGCTCACACACAGCGATTGTTCGGATGGTGCTGAACCGGGCAGTGGTTCACGCATAGAGTCACTGTGAGTCGGAGCCACCCAACAGCACGTCACAGCAACAACCACAATGTGTAAGGAAGAAGCAGTGGCCCGGGGAGTTGTTCCTTCTACCCTCTTAGCAGCAGCCACCCTCACCCCGACCCCCACCCCCAGGCATGTGTATCCCATCCCCAAACACACACAGCAAAAAAACATCAAACAGTATTAGTGGTGTAGTTAACCAAATTTAAACCACAGAACCCTACCCTGAAAAACCAGGGGGGGCCGCGGGTAAGTCCACTCCTCCCCCAGGTAGAGGGCCTCAAACCAGATGCAGTCTGGCTCTTTACTCCAGAAGTCCCCCATATCCAGACCACTTCCAAGCTGAGCTGCACCTACCTTTTGCATTTCCCCGGAGGAGACGTTGCAGGAGCTGCTGGGAGGGGATGCCCGCTTGCACCTCTGTTCACTGCTCAGGGCCCAGGAGTTGGCAAAATCATAGGGGTCTGAGGTCAAGGTCCCTGTGGAGCAAAGTTTCAGGAACAATTGAAACCACACATCTACTGGTCTTAGGACATTTGAGTGAAAGCGCTCCATCTTTCATTACCGGAGTCAATCTCCCATTAGATTAGAACATACACATTTGAATAAGAGAAAGTCTCTCCTGAGATTTTTGCAGCAGTGAGAATGCCCGCATGTGGGTCTGATGTTCCAGTTTATACTTCCTGTGAAATTCAGGAGCTCCGGATTAAGAAATTAATATAAGAACCTATTAAACATGTATACCAATGTTTATTGCAGTTATTTATGATATTCTCAAGGTGGAAACAAGAGAAATGTCCATCAGTGATAAATGGACACAAAGTGTGGTATATACATCCAATGGAATATTACTCAGCTATAAAGAGACATAATGTCAGGATGTGTGCCACAACGTGGAAATACCTAGAAACTGCCGAGTGACCTGTCAGTGACAAAGGGACAAGTAATGTGTGCTTCAAATAAGCAAATCGGCAGAAGCCAAAAGTTATCTGTGGCTGCCAAGAGTGAGAAGGAGGTGGAAAGAGGGATTTTGTTGTTGGTGGTTGTTGTTGTTGTTGTTGTTGTTGTTGTTGTTGTTTAGGGGGCCCTGAGTGTATGTGAATGGTGGCAGAATCATTTGGAACAGGAGAACACGCGGGTTACACAGCTTGCAGAATAGAATCTGTCACGGAATTAGACATGTAAACCTTTGCACTGGTATGTATCTTGTTGTGTATATGTTCACCATGGTTTTTAAAAACTTCCTGAAGATGAGCTCACGATCCAGAATTATCAAATAGAATGAGGAAAGCCACCCATGAAGAACAGACATGAAAAGAATAAGGTTAGATCAAAATAAATTGTGACAATAAAATGTTTGTACAGAGGTGTTAAAGCAAATAGTGCTACATGGTTGAAATCGAGAAGAAACTGAAAACTTGATAAAACAGCAAGACACTAAAAAAAGACAATAGAGTTGAAGAGAACCAAAATGACCTAAAGATTACAAATGTCATCAGTGATGTGATGAGGGACTGAAGTGATGAGGTCGACGGTGGTGAATTAGAAGATCGGTATATGCAGCGGTCTGCTGGTGAACCAGTCTTGAGGGTAGGGAAGAGCCTGAATTTGTAGCATTTGCTGATTTCCATGGGATAAACACACCCACCATGACCAATTCCAAGCTACAAGCATGAGCAGTGTAGTTGGGCAGAAATAGTCACAATCTGCTCTGACCCACTGAAAGAAGCAGCTCACTTGCACTAGGCAAGCTCCCTAGAAAAACAGGGACGGATACAGAGATGGCAAAACAGAAGTGAAGGAAAAAATGGCAGGATAAGCATTTGAGATAGTCTAGCAATTGTTAACAATCCGCATTTTTCTAGACAATGCGAATACAAGAAATTTAAGAAATGTACAGAGAAATGAGGAAAGCTGATAGTCAAAGAGAAAATGGCTGATTTTTTTTCAAATCGAATGAAAGATAGAATCCAAAGTTTCAAGAACCACATTAAGACTCCACCAAGATGCTTAAACATACAATCTACACCTAGACACAACAGACTGAAATTTCAAAAATACAGAGATAGAGCATTCTAAAAAGAAGACCAAAACCCAAAAGATAACTCATGTACAAAGGCATAATCTGCAAGGAAGTGGCAATTAGACTAATGTCATGTTTCTCAACAATTATGAAACAGCAACTTCAAAGCACTTGAAAAATAACTATCATCATTGTACTCTCCACCCAGCTAATGTGTTGTATAATAATGTGGAGCGTTTCTTTCCACTTGTAACCAGGCTCTGAATAAAGACACGACTAAGAGATGTTTTTCAAGAAAATAGATATTGACCCTGGGAGAAAGGAATAAGATGCAGGAAGAAATTAGGAGCAAAGAGTCTGTTAAACATGAAGCTACAGGTAACAAACAAGCACTGTTTACTTAGAACTATAATGATAATCATAATAGTATTAACAGCAAAACAATAGTACCAACTCTAGTAACACTTAAACAAGAAATAAGGGCAAGAGTATAATTGAACATAATAAAGAGTAGCTGAAAATACATAAAGCTAAATGAAAATGAAAACTTTGTGTCATGCTACTAAAGTAGCGAGTGGAGGAAACTGTATGGCTTTAAATATACACATTATACAATAACAATTTGGTTAAGTTAGTACTAGAGAAGATGGAAACAGATGGCTCTATTAATTTGTGAAACGGTCCCATCCAATGAAAGAAACCGTTTCTCTACGCACTGAACCCTTAATTAGAGGGTAGTTGGGTTCATGAAGAAGGCTGCCTTACATTCAATGTTCTGATTTTACAAGAAAGTCATTAAAATGTAAATGGTAATGTGATTTAAATTATCAAAAGAGAATTCAATACTAATAGTGGTTTTCAAGTTACCTGTATTACCTCTGTTACTCGTGAACACATACATACATGAACAAGTCTTTTTAGAGAAAGTTAAGAGCCACTTTATGGATTTCATCACCTCCATTGTAGTGGGACACAGAGGGTCTGTTCGAACCATCAAACATGTACCAATCGTCTACTGCGTGGCACGCAGTGGATTGCTGACTATGGGCTTTCTAGCTATCGTCTTTGTAACTCCCACCATGACTGGCTGTTGTTGTTAGGTGCCATCGAGTCGCTCTGACCCAGAGCGACCTCATGCACAACAGAAGGAAACATTGTGTGCCACCTCCACAATGTGTCCCGATGTCTGAGCCCATTGATGTGGCCACTGTGTCCAGCCATCTCCCTCCTTCACTGCCCCTCCACTGTACCAAGCATGATGTCCTTCTCCAGGGATTGATCTCTCCTGAATATGTCCAAAGCATATAAAACGAAGTCTTGCCACCCTTGCCTCTAAGGAGTGCTCCAGCCTTCCTTCTTCCAGCGCAGATGGGTTTGCCCTTTTAGCAGTTCAAGGTATTTCCAATATTCTTTGTCAGCACCACAATTCAATGCATCGATTCTTCTCTGGCCATCCTCATCCAACTTCCAACGTTCACCTGCTATGAAGCAATGAAGAACACCCTGGCTTGGATCTGGCACGCTTTCTTCCTCAAAGTAACACCCTTGCTTTTCAATATTATAAAAAGATCTTGGGAAGCAGATTTACCTAATGCAATATGTCTTTTGATCCCCTGACTGCTGCTTCCATGAGCATTGATTGTGGATCCAAACAAGATGAAATCCTTGCCAACTTCTCTCTGTTTATCATGATGTTACCTATTGGTCCAGCTGTGAGGATTTAGGTCTTCCACACTGAAGGCTACAATTCTTGATCTTCATCAGCACATGCTTCAAGTCCTCCTCACAAGCCAGGTTGTGTCCTCTGCATATCAAAGTTGTTAATAAGCCTTCCTCCAATCCTGATCCCACACTCTTCTTCATATCATCCAGTGTCTCGGATGATTTGCTCAGATACGGATGGAACAAGTATGGTGAGAATGACAACCCTGCCCCACACCTTTGCTGATTGTAAGCCATGCAATATGACCTTGTTCTGTTCACACAACTGCCTCTTGGTCCCTGTACAAGTTCCTCAAGAGCACAATGACGTGTCCTGAAATTCTCATTCTTCTCAAGGTCACCCAGAGTTTACTATGGTCCCCACAGTCAAATGCCTTTGCATACTCAATGAAATCCAAGTAAACATCTTCTGGCATTCTCTGCTTCGAGCCAAGATCCATCTGCCATCAGCAATGAGACCCCTTGTTCCATGTCCTCTTTTGAATCCGGCCAGAACTTCGGACAGCTCCCTGCCAATGTGCGGCTGCAACCATTGTTGGAGGATCTTAAGCGACATTTTACTGGCATTCATTATCAATCATATCATTTGATAGTCTGAGCATTTTGTTGGGTCACTTTTCTTTGGAATAGGCACAAATAGGTATCTCTTCCAGTCAGTTGGCCAAGTAGCTGTCTCCCAAATTTCCTGGCATCTAAGAGTGAGTGCAAGGTTCCAGAAATTGATGGGACACCTGTTGAAATATTTCATAAAGCTGAAAACCTTGTTTTTGGCTGATGCATTCGGTGCAGTTTTAACTTCTTCCTTCAGCACCATAGGTTCTATCTAGCTCATGTGCTACCTCCTGACATGGTGGATTGTCCACTAGTTCTTTTGAGTACAGCGGCTGTGTATTCTTTCCTTCGTCTTTCGATGCCTCCTGCATCATTTAATATTTTACCCATGGAGTTTGAAATATTACCCATAATATTTTACCCATGGTTTCAAGATTGCAAATCTAGGCTTGAATTGTTCCTTCAGTTAACTTTTTATTTCATATACATTGAGCTTGTTCTTCCCTCCCTTTTTGTTTTCTAATTCTAGGTCTCTGCACATTTCATCGTAATATTTTACTTTGTCTTCTTGAGCTGCCCTTTGAAATTTTTTTATTCAGTTCTTTGACTTCAGTCTTTCTCCCATTTGCCTTAGCTAAAGAGAAAGTTTCAGAGTCTTTTTTGACATCCACTTTAATATTTCCTTTCTTTCCAGTCTTCTAATGACCTTTGCTTTCTTCATGAATGATGGTCTTCATGTCCTGCCACAGTTCACCAGGTCTGCTGTCATTGGTGTTCAATTCATCAAATCTGTGAGATGTTCTCAAAATTCAGGTGGGATAGACTCAAGGTCATATTTTGGCTCTGGTAGAATTGTTTTAATTTTATTCAGCTTGAAGCTGAACTTTTATATGAGCAATTGATGGTCTGTTCCACAATCAGCTCCTGGTCTGGTTTTAGCTGCTATTGAGCTTATCCATTGTGTCTTCCCACAGATGTGGTCAAATTGATTTTTGTGGACTTCCATCTGGGGAAGTCCGTGTGTTGGCTTTTGTGTTGTTGAAAGAAGTTATTTGCTATGAGCAAGTTGTTGGTTCTATCACGTGATCTCCAACTTCATTTCTATCACCAGGTCTATATTTTCCAACTATTATTCCTTCCTCCTTGTTTCCAACTTTTGCATTCCAATCACCAATGCATTTTGATTATATGTTTGATCAATTTAGACTGAAGTCACTGGTAGAATTCTTCAATTTCTTCATCACGAGCTTTTGTGGTTGGTGCATAAATTTGAGTAATAGTTGGATTGATTGGGTTTCCTTTAAGGTGGGTAGATATAATCTGATCACAGACAGCATTGTTCTTCATGATGGATTTGAAACTTTTTTCCTGATGATGAATGCCACATCATTCCTCTTGATTGTGTTATCCCCGGCATAGAAAATCATATGATTTTCTGATTCAAAATGGCCAATACCACTCCATTTCAGCTCACTAGTGCCTAGGATATTGATCTTTATGTGTTCCATTTCATGTTTGACCACTTCCAATTTTTCTAAATTCATACTCTGACATCCCAAATTCCAATCATTAGAAGATCTTTGCCGCTGAAGGCTCCATTCCCACAGGCTTTACCTAACTCAGGTCACCATGGTCAACTCCCCTCCAGAAATCAGCTCCTCTGCACGAATCGAGGACACTATGTAAATTGGGTGCTTGAGGCCCACCAAGAGGATTGGACAGCCTACTGCTAATGGAAGGAAGGTACATGGAACCCCTTGGGGGTGGGACCAGAAAAATAATGTGTGTAGAACCCTCACAAAGGAGTTAGTCGGTTTTGCCATCTCATTAGACCTAAAACGAGCCACTCCGGAAGAGGGGAGCTGGAACCATAAGCACCAACAAGAAGAGATGAGATCAGAGCTGGAGCTCAGTAGTGGGATTCAGCTGGTCCACACCTCATTTTTGGTTGAGTTCTGTGAACTGGTTGTTAAAACGGCACTTGTCATCAGTGTCCTCTCTAAGGTGGGTGGTTGGGCCCAATGTGATTCCACCCCATGTGGAAATGACAAATTTGCAATCCTTACTCCTTTTAAACATTCATCCGCACAACAGCATATGTTAAGCGCCTGTAGTAATGTTCATTCCATCCATCAGTATAACAATTTAGATAGAACTATGCTTGTAATATTTATTTATTTGTTTTGCAAAAGTCATTATTCTTTTGATGAAATACCATATGTTCATTCCCTTGAATTTGCTACTTCAGTAAATGTGGAGAGAGAAAGTATCCAACAACCAGAGGGTGCCATGCCGTCCTTAGTTTTGTGTTACTCCCCAAGTTCCCAAGAGCCATGATGAGTCAATCATGCAATTCCTGAAAGTGTTCAAAGAGCTCAAAATATTGACAGAACAATCGCTTTAAGTTCAGCAGAAGCAGAAAGGAGGTTTCCAAAGATGAACATAATATGGTCAGAGAAGAGAAGTCGCCTGCTTCCAGTATCTCAAATACAATGACTATTGTCCAATTGTCCTACCTCCAAAGGAATGGGACCCTACTCCCACAGTGAAAAACAGTGAAGGATATATCACACAGCTGGTGATGCTTGGACAAAAGTGAAGAATGTTGCAAGTGAGGATGCCAATCAAGAAGTCATATGGAACTATCTTAAATAACAGTTTTATTGCTTTTTGTCGAGGTATTATTTAATATTTTTCCATTGATATTTTTTAAATCTTTGCTATAATTTAGTTTTGTGTACTTCTTTCATTGTTTTTGTTTAAGTCTTAACTGTGAAAGAGTAAATTACCTTTCAGTATATCGGGGTTTTTTAATACTTAAAACAGTCATTAGGACAGTTAAGCAGTTGTTAAATTATGTGAATCCCACCACTGCTGGAGTTCCTTCCCTAGGACCCTCCTGGACCCAGCAGACATGAGCTGTAACACTGGACACAGTGAGAAACAGCAAGAAGCAATGACGGAGAAACAATGGTGGCAGCAGCAGTAGAACCAGGAGACAGTGCAGTGGGCTTCCTGACACATAAAGAGGAAAACCTGAGTGCGTTTGGGCAGAGGGCTTGCTGGCAGCACTGAGTCCTTCTAGGCTGGAGCTCAAGAGCTTTGTAACCCTTTCTCCAGAAGGCAGAAGCCAGACTGGCTCAAGAGGATGAGGGATCAAGGGACAAGAGGTTAAGGACCAGGGAGAGGCTTGCCTGCAGGCCTGACTGCTTTGACTCAGGGCTTTGAAAATGAGCTACTTTGACTCAAGAAAGGTATCCTGAGACTTTGTTAATCCTGAATTAGAATCTGCTGCTTCTCTATAAAGTCCCATCAGCGTAAGTATTTTCCATGAGTCCTCCATGGCAAGAAATTTTCAGACTCAGCAGAGCAGTAGCTACTGCTATGGGAGGGAGGGATGGTGTCAGAGTTGGTGGAAAACCAGGTTGGAGAAAGGAGGCACACCTGATCTCCATCTTGGAGGAATCAACCTTGGCCAATGGTGCTGATGCTAATTCTCCTCCCCTGTAGAGTTATTGGAGGTCAGATGCCTACCCCACCAAGTCATTCCCCAGAGTCACCTGGAAGTCGCTCCCGGGAATTTAATAATGAACAGTCCAGCTTAAGGCTCTCCAACACCTGGTTTCCCCAAAATTCCAAGCAGTGAAGTCAAAAGCTCAAAGGTAACATGACAGGATGAGAGCTAGGGGAGGAATGTTAGGGAGCCTTCATGAGCAGGGGAGAGACGAGCAGAAACACGCGTTAGGGAAATGTTACCCGGAGACACTTACCTTCCTGAGTCATAAAGTCATCTTCTGCGAACCTATTGAAGTTTCCACACAGCCCACAAGTCTTGTTGAAGTATCTGTCTGACAGCAGGACTTGGAAGTTACCACTAGCATCAATCCTGGCCACAAAACCATAGGTCTCACTGGACAGCTTGTAGGACCCAGCCTCAGTTTCCAAATACAGGCCATTGGAGGCATAAGGTATGGAGACACTGCAGGAGGAAGGATTTGCTCAGGAAATAGGCTTCCCTTCTATTCTCTGGATGTCCCTCCCAGCCACCAAGTCCAATCTGGCTGCAGGGTTCAGATTATTGTGGAATGTGACTGAAGGCAAGGGGCTCTGATGGAGTAGTGGGTTACACATTGGGCTGCTAAACAAAAGAAGAACAGTTTGATACCACCTGGCACTTAGTTAGGTGACCAGATGCCCCACTTTTGGTGGGACAGTCCCAATTTTTAACAATTTGTCCTGTGTCCCACGGCATTTTTTAAAAGTCCCGATTTTTGGAAAGAATGCACAACAAGCTAGGGTATATGGTTTTCGGCTGCCATGTGGCTATTTCGCCAGGATATGAGTTTTATCAATGGTGTCCCACTGGTCACGTTAACTTAGTGGGAAGTGGAGCGGGAGGCAGGCTATGGTAAAAGACGAGACCTTCTACTCCTATAAAGATTCAGCCGCAGAAACCTACAGAACCAGTTTTACTCTGTTCGATAGGGTCTATCAGAGTCAGAATCAACTCAATGGCAGTGAGTTTTTAAATTTTTGTTGGATGAAGATCAAGGGAAGTGGTTGAGCCCACCCAGCCCGGCTACTCACTGCCTCCGGGCACAGTTATTTCCTCTCTGGGTCTCAGCGCCTTCATTTGAATGATGAGAAGGGTGCAGGCGGGAATGACTATCCAGGGTTCTTTCTAACTCAGACATTTGGGGTTCTGACTTACCTTTGGGTCCCCTGCATCACAGAACCATTGACAAACATATGGATGTCAAAAAATTCCCCGAGATAGACAGAGAAGCCCATTCTCTTGCCATTGTGGAAGTCCCCTGAAAGAGAAAAGAGCTGAGTTATAAAGAAATACTACAAATACTGTGGTGATTATTACCAATCTATCTGTAGGCAGTTATTTATTTGTTTGTTTGTTTGTTTATAACCCTTGTCCCCATAATATTCTCAGCAGAAAAGTCCCCCTCCTTCTACACACACACACACACACACACACACACACAAAACTCAATACATGGGCAACAACAACAAAATCTTCCTGAAACTCTCATTTGCTCACTCATCCTTCCCTCCATCTAAAAATATTTACTGAGTGCCCTCTGGGTAACTAGCCCTCTGGGGATCCTTACGTTTCATGAGAGTTCACTAAGTATAAAGAGGAGACAGTCTTGCTGCAAACAAAAGCGATCGCGACAGGTCCCCCGTGTCTTTGGTAAGTGTTGACTGGTGGTGACCCCATGGCGGAGTAGAACTGCCCCAGGGGGTTTCTTGGATGGAATCTTGGTGCAAACCAATCTCCAGGCCTTTCTCGGGCACAGCACTAGATGCGCGTGTGTTACAACTGCATCCTTTGGGTGAGCAGTCAAGCACCTAACGATTGCCCTGCCAGGGCTCATCAGGCACGTTGTTGCTGTCATTAGGTGCCATTGAGTCTGCCCCGACTCGTGGCAACCCTGTGTGCAACAGAATGAAACACCACCCTGTCCCGCACCATCTCGGCCATGACCAGAATGGTTGTTCCTGTAAGAGAGCATGGTCTTACACTCCACTCACTGCCAGCGAGGCATTTTTGACTCAGGGCGAGTGTTTATAAGGTTTCAGAGGCTGCAAATCTCTATAGGAGGAACTGGCTTCCCCTTTCTCACTGGTGGGTTTGAACCTCCAACCTAATGGGTTAGCAATCCAACACTTCCCTGGCCGATCCCCCGGGGCTCCTTACTAGGACAACCCCCATCTAATCCCAAGGTTCTTTGTTTAAAATGGAGATTCCTGAGCTCGACCATAGTTTACTCTATTTGAATCTCTGGAAAAAGTCTAGGAATATTGGAGAGTAAGTGCCTCAGTAAATGATCAATACTGCCATTCAATCAGGACCCCTGGTGGCATTAGGCTGCTAACCACAAGGTCAGCTGTTTGAAACCATCAGTTGCTCCGAGGGAGAAAAAAACCAAGGCTTTGTACTCCCATAAAGAATTACAGTCTCAGAAACTTACGGGAGTGGGGGCAGTTCTACACTGTCTTACATGTGCACTATAGTGAGTTTGAGTGACAGCCATTAGATCACCACCCATTTGTCAGACTATGGTGGTTTTTGCCTAGTTCTGATTCTGGAAGCTATGCTGCTGGTCTTTCAAAGGCTAACAGGGTCATCTGTAATGGATAGCTTTCTGAGGGTCTTCCAATTGAGACAGGCTCAGGAGAACTCTTCTTCCAAAAATTAAAGGTTTGCATTGAATGGGTGACACTAGACTAGGTTAGAATGCACTACCAATAGCCACCACAAGGGAATCACATATACCAATGGTTGTGGAGGTGGCACCAGGCAGCACAACGTCTCCTTCTGGGGTGCATGAGCTCACCGTGAGTTGGAACCAACTCAACAGCAAGTAACAAACAACAGTGTAGCCATTCAAGGTGTTGGAATCCCCAAAAAGAAAGCATATTAACATAGCCTCCAAAGAAGATCTGGTTATGACGGCTGGTCACAGAGACCTGGGGCATGCCAATGGCCATGAGTCAGGGAGACGAGGCAAGAGACACATTTTTCTACAGCATTCATAAGACCTAACAATCTCACAACCCGTCCCTGAGGACTGACATTTGTGCTGGGCCCTGAGTATTCAAAGGAAACTGTAGGAAATGGAGGTACCAGAGAGGGAAATAAAGAGATTGATTTCCCATGGCATCTCGAAGACTGGGAGAGAAAGCAGTTGATGAAAGGAAGGATGTACAATGGTCAGTGAAGACCGAGCGATGGAGCGTGCTGGCAAAAGGGGCCAGATGTGGGGCATGTTCCCTTAGCATTCTTAAAGGCATGGGACACAGACCCCAGGTTGAAAGATGCCCCTTGGGGACGTAGAAACATGCTTTCTCCTAGGAGGCACAGGGAAGCATGGGCTCCAGTTCTTCAGCAGAAGAGGATGCAAGCAGCCTCTGTGGTTGGTATGTGCGCATACTCATCCACACAAACACTTGCAACCAACCAGAAATAGACTTGCTTCTGGTGAGATTACAGTGAAGGCTGTCACACGTAAATAAAGGACCCTTTCTAAGAATAGAGTCTTGAATGATATGCCATTCGCAGCCTGGAGACCTCCAGGAAGGGCTCACAGACCACCCACAACCCACAAACCACAGTCCACAGAGCCCCCAGCCAGGAGGAAGGGAATCGCCAACCATGTCCAAGGTTCCTCTCCTGTTCAAGCTGCCAAGTTGTACATGCTCTGCATTTTCAATTAGAAGCGGTTTTCTACTGGATGTTCATTTTTTGTTTTTCAGCAAGCCAATCTTTAAATGTTGAGCATTGTTTCTGAGAGCAGGGGGGGGCGGAATTGGCCAAAGGAAAACAAGAGATAGATAATGAGGCAGACTAATGGAGCCAAACATTCAGGGTGAGTATATGGGTGCTCACGGTGATGCCCTGTCCATTTTCTTTGGTATGTTGGAAATTTTCCAAAACAAAACATTGAGGCAAACAAACAAATGGGCACAGCCTGGCAACAGCCACCAGTTTGCGGTCCCTCCCAGGAACGCTCCCCGGCCCCTGGGTATTCACTGTGGGCTCAAGCCCAAATCCCTTCCTCGGCCTCTTTGGAAACCAGTGCCCTGAGCACCACATACAAGCCCGGGTTAGCCTGGGTGACAGGGCACGACCTCCTCCCCGGACACGGTGAGAGCACAAGGCATCCCTCTCTGCTAGAGTGGGGAAGGGTGGGATGTACAAACCATCCAGAGCTGAATCTCTGGTCCCTTAGAGCTGCCTCGGCAGGAGGAGTCTCCTTCTCGAGCTCCAGGCTCATAGGGCAGTGGGACACGTCGTCTGCCCGCGCTTCCCTGGGTAACTGGCAACCCACTTCTGAGCCACAGGCCCAGAAACCGGAAAGGAATCCTGGTGTGCCTCTCTTTCTGGCAGGTGTTCCATGGCTCAGAGAGTGTGACTGAGAATGAAGTCCGCCAAAGGGAGGTGGCAGCAGGGTGTGTAGGAAACACTTTAGATGCAAGAAGGCACCTTGGGGTCAGTCGCCAGCCTGCCACTAACGGATCCATAACGCTTCCAGACTTTCAGAAGAAGAGAAGGAATCCTGGGGTGGGGCGTGGGGTGTAGTTTTTCATTCTTGTGGAATTCAGACATGTGACTTCCCATGAAGGTTGAGGTGACCCATCCAAGCTACCACCCTGAGAGGATCTTTGGACTTGAAGCTTAGAGAGAACTGGCTCCCTGAAAGTCACCTTGAAGTCAAATCCATGGTCACGTACAATCCAGTCAACTCCAAGTCAGAGCGACCCCATTCGACAGAGCAGGACGGTCAGTCCGGTTGCCTACGCTGTCGCCTTTACGGAACAGGGCCTTTTCTCCTGTGTAGTTCCAACCTCTAACCTTTCAGTTAGCAACTAGGTGAAAGTTCAACAACGTCCCAGCTAACTCAGCATTGTGGCCCTTTCCAGGACTCTCTATGGCATTGTCAGGTAAGCGTTTGATCAGGTCTGCGGTTCAAACCCACCCGTTGCTCCGAGGGAGAAGGAGGAGACTACCCGCCCCTGTAAACACGGCCACCCCTGGGCTGCCGTGAGTCGGAATCAACTCAGTAGCAGTGGGCTGGGGGGTTTTCAGTTTCGTTTCAACAGAAGTGCCAAAGGTCAATCTAAAGAAAACAGAAGTCCTCACCACCGGAGCAAGAGACGGCATTTTGATAAAGGGAGAAAAGGTGGACATTGTTAAGGATTTCTTGTTACTTGGATAGGCAATTCATGCTCACGGATACAGCCATTAAAGGGATGGATGGATGGGTTGTGATAAGAGCTGTCACAATCCCCCGATCAAATGATTTTTTTTAAAACAGAGAGGCACAGAGACGTGCTGCATTGAGCAGATCTGCTGCACCAGGGTCTTGAAAGTGTTAAAGATGGCGCTTTGAGGACCAAGATGGGCCTGGCCCCATGCACGCTGCTTTCAACGGCCTCCTATGCATGCAACAGCCGGAAGATGACGAAGCAAGACCGAAAAATAGAATTGAAGTCATCAGTGCCAGGAAAAAGAAATCATGCTTGGTAGAGTCGGAGCAGCCGGAAGAGTCGCTGTAAGTCGGAAGCACTTCCACGGCGCTGTGCAGCGGATGCCCCTGAGCCAAGTCCTGCTATTGCCCAGGGCCTCGTCGGCCTGTGCGAGCTGGATGGTGTGTAAGGAAGACCTCACCCAAACTGATGCCACTGAACTGTGCTTCCAAGGACATATCATGGATTTCCAGAAGAATGAACAAGTCTGTCTGGGCAGAAGTGCAACCAGCATGCCTCTTAAAATGGAACAAGGCAAGACTGCAGCTATCAAGAGGGAACTCCGGGGAAGAACATCACGCTAGGCAAAGTAGATGGTCCGTGAAACCGAGGAAGCCCCTCAAGGAGATGGAGTCGCCCCATGGCGTTACCGAGGGTTTCCATGGCAGTGATGATGAGACTGGCTCGGGATCCATCAGATTGTCCAGAGGGCTCACCGTGTTGGAACAGACAGACAGCTGCCAACAACAACCAGCTCTTCCTGCATCCAAACCTGGCAACAAGGTGGCCCGGTGGCCCTGCTGCTAACCACGAGTTGGCAGGTTGCACCCACCCAGCCGCTCTGCCAGAGCAAGACCTGCCAATCTGCGTCCATCAAGATGATCACCAAGAAAAAGTTCCTTTCTGTCACGAGACGCTGCTTTGATTTGAAATCCACTTGACAAACAGCTGACAGGAAGACCAGGGCTAGGTGGTGAGGGCTGGTGGGAAGTGAGCTGCAGACCCCAGAGACCGTGGAGCTCATGATCCCAGAAGGAGGTGGGGGGAC